AAAGCCCCGAGTGATAATGTGTTATGTCAGATAAGTCACCCAGTAATACTTATTTATGGAGCTCTTACTGTGTGTGCACCCCACCCATCAGTCAGGATAGTGAATCATACCAGACATGGGCTATACCTTTAAGGTAATTAAAAGTTCTTTCTAATAAAGACAGTTTTAGGAAATCTAAGGCATTGGTCATTGCTCTATTCATTATTGGTAATAATAACAATAACTGGTTTGTATTACAAAGATATGTTTGTGCTTTTTTTTCATTGAAATGCTACTACACAAATGATAGCTTTATTGTAATTACACATTTCAAACTGTCACAAGATTGCTTTACTGAAAGTATTTAGGCATTCATCATAGCTCATTTGTCCAAATAATGAAGTATGGTATTTTTTCTTTATTTTATTTTATATTTTAATTAAAAAGTAAACTTTAATGTCAAAAATGCAAACGTGGGAAGGGCAGAAAGATCACACACAAGGCTGTCCCTTCACACTTGGAGGGTTGCAGATCGGCCGGACAGAGGCGCTCCTCACTTCCCAGACAGTGGGGCAGCCGGATAGAGGACTCCTCACTTCCCACACTGTGAAGCAGCTGGGCAGAAGTGTTCCTCACTTCCCAGACACTACGGAAGTATGTTGTTATTTATACCAACGGTGATATAAAGAATCTGGCAGTCTACTTCTACTTCCTTGAATCACTCATTCTGGTAGCATCCCATTATATTGTAGAGTTTATCTTGTTCAAGATCCTAACTTGGTATTTCAAAATTATTATCTAGTTTTCACTTTATTCTTTTTATCATTTCAGAAACCCTAACCTACTCCTTTTATTGGCTAGGCCAAGTTCAAGATAGTGCCTTTTTTTGAGAATATGTTTCTGGTGACCCTGTACAATTAAAAGCTCAAATATTTCAACATTGATTTTCTCACAGGAATAAATGTTAAACAGGATTGATGCATTCTTGGAGCTCGTAATACACTCACTGGGGTATATTTTTGCTTATAAGCATGAAAAACAAAAGCATAATTATGTGGTCATATTTTCTTATCACATAAGACTTCCGGCCAGGCATGGTGGCTCACACCTGTATCCTAGCACTTTGGGAGGCCAAGGTGTGTGAATCACTTGAGGCCAGGCATTCGAGACCAGCCTGGCCAACATGGTGAAACCCCAAGTCTACAAAAAATACAAAAAAAACATTAGCTGTGCCTGGTGGTGCATTCCTGTGGTCCCAGCTACTTGGATGGCTGAGGTAGGGGAATCATCACTTGAACCTGGGAGGCAGAGGTTGCAGTGATCTCACTCCAGCCTGGGCAACACAGCAAGACTCTGCCTTTAAAAACAAAACAAAACCAAAAAAAAACTTCTGGCTGGGTGTGATGGTTCACACTTGTAATTCTGGTGCTCTGGGATGCCAAAGCCAGGAAGATTGCCTGAGGCCAGGAGTTCAAGTCCAGCCTGGGCAACATAGCGAGACCCTGTCTCTACAAAAAAATTAAAAATTAAAAATAGCCAGATATGGTGGCATGTGCTTGTAGTCCCCAACTACTTAGGAGGCTGAGGTGGGAGAATCACTCAAACCCAGGAGATTGGGACTACAATGAGTTATGGTTGGTTGCACCACTGCACTGCAGCCTGGGCAACAGAGCAAGACCCTGTCCCTAGTGGAAAAAAGAAAAAGACTCCCATTCCAGAGTTACTGATTTGAGCGTGCTTTTTTTCACACTGGCACTAACACCTCCACTTAATGAATGCTTGATGTTTCTATAGATGTAAAAAATATTTTAAAACATAGCAATAAATATTAAAATATAAAGGTTAGCATAGTAATCACCAAAATCACAAGGCTGAAATTCTAGTGCATTTAACAAGAATATGGGCCAGGCGTGGTGGCTCACACCTGTAATCCCAGCACTTCAGGTGGGTAGATCACTTGAGGTCAGGAGTTCGAGACCAACCTGGCCAACAAGGCAAAACCTTTTATATTAGCTAAAAAAATATAAATTAGCCAGGCATGGTGGTGGGCTCCTGTAAATGGTAGCTTCTCTGGAGGCTGAAGCAGGAGCTTGAACCCGGGAGGCGGAGATTGCAGTGACCTGAGATCACGCCACTGCACTCCAACCCCGGGCAAGAGCAAGGCTCCGTCTGAAAAAAAAAAGAAAAAGAAAAATGATTCCCACAATATTGGAAAAGGGTAGTGGGTGATAATTTTCTTACCAACAGAGGTGTTACTGCTGTGTAATAATAGCATAAATACATGTAGAGTTCACTTGACTTAACCAGTTTTAAAATTGAACACTCCCTGATTAATTTTAACCTGGGTGATTTCTATTATTTTACATTTGCACATACTTGGTTTTAACAAAAATCTAAATAATAATGCTTTTAGTAAGATAGTGATTCAGTTTATATAATTACAATTAGCTCAACGTCTTAAAGATTTCAGAGCCTGGGACTCTTATGAATGTTTTGAATTTTACTTCTTGGCAGCATGATCTAGCACAGGTGTCATATCTGTTGCCTAGGAAACGGGGTCGAGGAAGGCCAGTACCTAGATCAGGCAGGCATGGCAAAATTTTTATAGCAACCCTTGCTGCTTCCAACAAAATCAGTAACTTTTTCCAAGAAAAGGAGAAATGACATTGGGTAGTCAATAAGTTCTTACCACATCCTTTCTTTGGTTGGTTTCACATTCTTCTCTTATCATTTCACATAGGAGGATCATCTGTCAGTAGCCTGTTCACCCATTAGTCTTACTAAGCCATTTCTCATTTAAAAATGTCATTTGAAATGCTGAATCCTCTAGGACAAGTAAGTAGTTGCCTCCCTCGTGAAAAATGCATGTCAGCATACTTTCTGCATGATACTGAGTGATTTATGTTTACATGAAACATAAAGTACAAAGAGTGGAAGAGAGCAGCCAACATTTTAGCTCCAGGCACTGTGCTTGGTACTTTATGTGTTTTCTTATTTAAACCGCACATCAACCCTGTGAGCCTATTACAGGCAAAGAAACTGAGCCTCTGAAATGTGAAATAACTTGCCAGGTGTCACTCTACTTTACAGAGCTGCTGGAACTCAAACCCACATCCGTCTGATTCCAAATCCTCTGTTTTTTTCATCTTACTATATGGCCTCCTGAAGTCTTCATCACATAATCATATATAGTCTAAGTATCTTCTTTTGTCTTATATTTGCATTCCTGTAATACGGTTCTCTGAAAACGTAATCTCTAAGAGGAAAAGAGCCAGAACTACTATACACAATAGCAGTGTGCTTAATAAAATACTCATATAAAAAGTCGTGTTTTGTTTGTTTGGTTTGTTTGTTTTTGTTTTTGAGATGGAGTTTTACTCTTGTTGCCCAGGCTGGAGTGCAGTGGCATGATTTGTACTCACTGCAACCTCCACCTCCCGGGTTCTCCTGCCTCAGCCTCCCAAATAGCTGTGATTATAGACATGTACCACCCAGACAATTTTCTATTTTTAGTAGAGACGGGGTTTTACCGTGTTAGTCAGCCTGGTCTGGAGCTCGTGACCTCAGGTTATCTATCTACCTCGGCCTCCCAGAGTGCTGGGATTACAGGTGTGAGCCACCACACTAAGCCCAAAAGAGTTGTTTCTGATATTTTTATTACTACCTTTTTAACAATCTGATAGTCTCTGATTGTTTATATAAGAATTAGAAGGCTGGGAGCGGTGGCTCACGCCTGTAATCCCAGCACTTTGGGAGGCTGAGGTGGGCAGATCACCTGAGGTCAGACCAGCCTGGCCAACATGGTGAGTTTGAGACCAGCCTGGCCAACATTGTGAAACACTGCCTCTACTAAAAATACAAAAAATAAACCGGGCACGGTGGCGCGCGCCTGTAATCCCAGCTACTCGGGAGGCTGAGGCAGGAGAATCGCTTGAGCCCAGGAGGTGGAGGTTGTAGTGAGCCAAGATCGCACCATTGCACTCCAGCTTGGCAACAAGAGCGAAACTCCATCTCAGAAAAAAAAAAAAAAAAAAAATTAAAAATAATCAGAATCATGTTGCTATGATTGCACCCAAAGAAGTTGTTAATCCTAATTCAAGCCAACAATGGTATATTGAAAAAATAAAAATTTAAAAACACTTTTTTTTTTTTTTTTTGAGACGGAGTCTGGCTCTGTCGCCCAGGCTGGAATGCAGTGGCCGGATCTCAGCTCACTGCAAGCTCCGCCTCCCGGGTTCACGCCATTATCCTGCCTCAGCCTCCCGAGTAGCTGGGACTACAGGCGCCCGCCACCTCGCCCGGCTAGTTTTTTGTATATTTTAGTAGAGATGGGGTTTCACCGGGTTAGCCAGGATGGTCTCGATCTCCTTACCTTGTGATCCGCCCGTCTCGGCCTCCCAAAGTGCTGGGATTACAGGCTTGAGCCACCGTGCCCGGCCTAAAAACACTTTTAAGAAATACATTAATCCTAGGAGGAAATAGAAATATGTTACTTAAAGATGAAAATGCTAAAGAAACATTTGGAAGATTAGAGGGTTTTGTTTTCTTTCTTTCTTTCTTTCTTTTTTTTCAAGACAGCATCTCTGTTGCCCAGGCTGGAATAGAGTGGTCATCTCAGCTCACTGCAATCTCCACCTCCCGGGTTCAAACAACTCAAACAATTCTCATGTCTCGGCCTCCTGAGTAGCTGGAATTACAAGCATGTACCAGCACACCCGGCTAATTTTTGTGGTTTTTTGCAGAGACTGCGTTTCACCACGTTGGTCAGGCTGGTCTCGAACTTCTGGTCTTAAGTGATCTGCCCAACTCGGCCTCCCCAAGTGGCTTGAGCCACTGTGTCTGGCCTGTTTACGTTGAGATTTTTGTGGGGTTTTTACTAGCTACAAACAGAACATTAATATCATGGTTTGGGGCCCTGTTCTTCATAATTATGGAATTCTCTAGTGGAACTCATAGTGTTCTTTCCCTTGCATTATTATAAGATTGAAATTTTGTTTCTTTTTTTTTAAACTTCATATCAGGATATGGTTATACAAGCTCTTCAGAAAACTAACAACAGAAGTATAGAAGCAGCAATTGAATTCATTAGTAAAATGAGTTACCAAGATGCTCGACGAGAGCAGATGGCTGCAGCAGCTGCCAGACCTATTAATGCCAGCATGAAACCAGGTGATTAATCAAATATTTTATTGTCTCATCTCTTCTTTTACTGTGTAGTTTGAAAATACTGAAGTCTATCAAATCTTTCTTCTTAGAAATTATAAAAGCATCCCAGTAAATGAAAGTCTCAAATTAAAATAATGTTATAATGTTATCCCAAAATGAATTTAAGGATGGAGTCCTCACATTTAAAAGTTAAAAGATAATTCTGGTAAGCAGCAGTCTAGATTAAGATCTATTTGATTAGTAATAATGCAGCTGAAATACATCTATTTTCCCTCCAAGTCCTATCATTCAGATTACTCTTTTTCTTTTTATACTTTTTTTCATATTATGAGAGTAAAATATGATCAACATAGAATATTTAGAAAGCAAATAAAAACATTGTTGTTAATAACAATATTTTGCTGTATTTTGTTTCCCAGTCTTTTTTCCTATGGGAAACCAGAATAGGTTTATCTATGCATATTTTGATTCTTGTTTAAGCAAAAAATGGTATCATACTAAAACCTACTTTTTTCACTTAATATACCATGTACAATTTTACTTGTTATTAAGTTTTCTACAGAATAATTTTAATAGCTACGTTAAAATAGACTTATTTGCTGACTGCAGTGGCTCACACCTATAATCTCAATACTCTGAGAGACTGATGCGGGAGGATTGCCTAAGCCCGGGTGATCCTGCCACTGCACTCCAGCCTGCGCAACAGAGCTAGACCCTGTCTCAAAACAAACGAACAAACAATAAAGCTGTATCATATACTTTATTTAACTAATCTCCCATTTTTGGACATCAGCTTTGTTTCCTTTTTTATTTGCCATTATACACAGCACTGTAGTAATTATCCTTATAGCTAGATCTTTGTGTATACCTAATGATTTCCTAAAAGTAAGTTTTAGAAAACTTAAAAAACGTTAAGGCTTTTCATAGATATTGCTGTCTAGAAAGGTAGTACCAATTTATTATTTTATTTTTTATTTTTTTGAGATGGAGTTTCACTCTGTTGCCCAGGCTGGAATACAGTGGCATGATCTCAGCTCACTGTAACCTCTGCATCCCAAGTTCAAGCAGTTCTCCTGCCTCAGCCTCCCAAGTAGCTGGGATTACAGGTGCCTGCCACCATACCCGGCTAATTTTTGTATTTTTGGTAGAGACGGGGTTTCCATGTTGACTTGGCTGGTCTCAAACTCTTGATCTCAAGTGATCCGCCTGCCTTAGCCTCCCAAAGTGCTGGGATTACAGGCGTGAGCCACCACGCCCAACCAGTAGTACCAATTTATATTCTCCCTATCAGTTTCCTATGAGAATGCCTGTGTTTGTAAAGCCTCGGTATTATTATTTTTGTCTGTTTAATGGTTGTGGAAACACTGTCTTATTTTACATTTGCATTTCTTTGATCACTGCATTTGTTTATTGGTTTGTTTTCGTGTTTGTTTATTTGTTTTTGAGACTCACTCTGTCATCCAGGCCGGAGTGCAGTGGCACGATCTTGGCTCACTGCAACCTCCACCACCCGGGTCTGAGTGATTCTCTTGCCGCAGCCTCCCGAGTAGTTGGGATTACAGGCACCTGCCACCATGCCCAGCTAATTTTTGTATTTTTAGTAGAGATGGGGTTTCACCATCTTGGCCATGCTGGTCTTGAACTCCTGACCTCGTGTTCTACCTGCCTTGGCCTCCCGAAGTGTTGGGATTACAGGTGTGAGCCACCACTCCTGGCCTATTAGTTATTTTTTAATTGCCATTTTACCTCTTTTAATTTTGTCTTTTTTTTTTTTTCCTTTGAGATGGAGTCTTGTCACCCAGACTGGAGTGCAGTGGTGCGATCTTGGCTCACTACAACCTCCGCCTCCCGGGTTCAAGCAATTCTTCTGCCTCAGCCTCCAGAGTAGCTAGGGTTACAGGTGCGCACCACCATGCCTGTCTAATTTTTGTATTTTTAGTAGAGACGGGGTTTCACCATGTTGGTCAGGCTGGTCTCAAACTCCTGACCTTGTTATCTGCCCACCTCAGCCTCCTGAAGTGCTGGGATTATAGGTGTGAGCCATTGCACCCGGCCTGTCTTCGTCTTTTAAAAATTGATACCCGGCACAGTGGCTTACGCCTGTAATCCCAGCACTTTGGGAGGCCAAGGCGGGGTGGATCACCTGAGGTCAGGAGTTAGAGACCAATCTGACCAACATGGAGAAACCCTACTAAAAATAAAAAATTAGCTGGGCGTGGTGGCACATGTCTCTAATCTCAGCTACTCGAGAGGCTGAGGCCGGAGAATTGCTTGAATCTGGGAAGCAGAGGTTGCAGTGAGCTGAGATCGCACCATTGCACTCTAGCCTGGGCAAAAAGAGTGAAACTCCATCTCAAAAAAAAAAAAGGAAAAGAAAAAGAATTGATTTATAAGAGGGCTATAGTCATTCTTCCCATTCAACACATTTTTATTTATCATCCACTGTTTCAGGCTCTTTGCTCTGCATTGGGTAAGTTCTTGCCCTTTTGTGGACCTTACCTAGTAAGGGAGATCAAATAATCACCCAGATACCTGTAGAATTACAGCTATATATGGTGTGAATGAAGAGAGGAGAGTTACTTGGTACTGTGGACTCATATAATAGTGGGATTTTTTCTTTTCTTTTTTTTTTTAACCACATCAAGAAGATCAGAAAAGCCCTTCCTAACAAACTGGTAATAAAGCTGATATCTGAAGACGTACAGAGTTAGTGGGAATGGGATTAGTGAGTGTCCCCATGCATGGCTGCTTTGGCAGATTTTGATGCCACAAAAAAAAATGAAAATGCTTGGAGCACTGAAAACAGGATCGTGACATGTGACTGGAAAAGTCCATGGGGGACTGACTCTGCATAGGAGCCTGACTCTGTTTATTAATTTTATCCTAAGAGCAGCAGAAAGGTGTAGAAGTGTTTCAGGCAGGGTAATATTATTAGATTTGTATTTCAGAAAGATGGCTGCAGTGGATGAGAATGGGTTAGAGAGGAGCGAGGATAGATATGAGGACAGGTGTAATAGGAAACACAGTAGTTTGTGAGGGTAATTTGGACTTGGGCAATAGCAGTGAAGAAAATGAATGAATGAAGAGGGATGGGAGTGGTAAAATTGACAAGGACTTGGTAATAGATTACATATGGTGCGTGATGATAGAAGGGGATAACTCTTAGGTTTTTGGCTTAGAAAAATCAATGGATGATAATATCTGACATTAAGAAAGGGAATGTTAAGAGAGAATAGAATTTGGGTGGGAAGGATCGTAAATCTGGCTGTAGTTTTCCAAGTGGAGATGTCAAGTAGGGAGCTGGGTATGTATGTATGAGCCGGGCATATGAAATAGGTCACGTAAGGGATGTTACATAGATCAAAATAATAAGATGGCCTGCAACCAAGCTTATTATTTAATAGCTAGTAGGAAGGGGTAAACCTGCAAAGGGGACAGAGAAGAAATAGGTGAAAAGGAAGAAAACCAGTAAGGTTTTCAGTGTTTTGGGAGCCACAGTAAGAGAATGTTTCAAGAAGGGGAGGGAATGGTCAAAATGCCAAATACTGCTAAGAAAGAAATATTGACCAAGATGAGAACTAAAAAATAATCTTGTTGACTTTAGTGACGTGGTGTGTTAGTTTGCTAGGGCTGCCATAACAAAATAACACATATTGGGTGGCTTAAACAATTAAGATTTATTTGAGTGCTGGAGACTAGAAGTCCACGATTAATTACTGGCAGGTCTAGTTTCTTCTGAGGCCGCTCTCCTTGGCTTGCAGAAGGCCACCGCCTTGCTGTGTCCTCATACGTTTGTCCCTCTGCATGTGCATGTGTCTTGAGTCTCCGTCTCCGTGTCCAGATTTTCTCTTACAGGGATACAGGTCATACTGCATTAGGACCCACCCTAGTGATCTAATTTAATCTTAATTACCAAATACAGTCACATCTTATAGTACTGGTGGTTATGACTTCAGCATATGGATTGGGGGTTCAGCAAATGAGGTAACTTGTCTTGTCATGGGAGCATAATTCAGATTGGAGTGGGTTGAGGACTAAACAGGATATGTAGTAGTTAAAAAAAAAACAAGGTATACCTTCAAGAAGTGTTTCTGGAGGAGAGAGTGAGGACATTAGCAAGAGTAGTGCTTCTCAAACCATCTATGGTGAAGACCTTTGGTTTTTCAAATTTCCAATTCATCATGAATTCAATTCATAATTTTATAAATACAATAAATTATTAGAAAATGCAAATTTAAGTGCCAGGCATTGTGGCTCACACTTGTAATCACAGCACTTTGGGAGGCTGAGGCGGGAGGATCACTTGAGCTCAGGAGTTTGAGACCAGCCTGGGCATCATGGTGAAACCCCAGCTCTACAAAAAATTATCCAGGTGTGGTGGCATGTGCCTGTAGTCCCACCTACTCAGGAGGCTGAGGTGGGAGGATTGCTTGTGCCCAGAAGGTTAAGGCTGCAGTGAGCTATGATTGCACCACTGCACTCCAGCCTGGGCAATAGAGTGAGCCCCTTTCTCAAAAAAAAAAAAAAAGAAAGAAAGAAAGTTAAAATTTTAAATGACATAAAAATACAAGTTTAGGGCTGGACATGGTGGCTCATGCCTGTAATCCCAGCACTTTGGGAAGCCAAGGCGGGCGGATCACGAGGTGAGGAGATTGAGACCCTCCTGGCTAACACGGTGAAATCCCGTCTCTACTAAAAATACAAAAAATTAGCCAGACATGGTGGCGAACGCCTGTAGTCCCAGCTGCTTGGGCGACTGAGGCAGGAGAATGGCGTGAACCCGGGAGGCGGAGCTTGCAGTGAGCTGAGATCACGCCACTGCACTCCAGCCTGGGTGACAGAGCGAGATTCTGTCTCAGAAAATAATAATAATAGTAATAAGTTTAGGCTGGGCACAGTGGCTTACACCTGTAATCCCAGCACTTTGGGAGGCTGGGGCAGGTGGATCACCTGAGGTTGGGAGTTTGAGACCAGCCTGACCAACATGGAGAAACCCCGTCTCT